GAGGATTCTTGCCTCCCTGTTCCTCCAAAATATGAAGACTAGAGCAGAGAAGATAGCCAGAAACAAGGGGGAGGGAGAGAATCCCCAGTTCTAGCCAAAATTTTGAGTAAATTAATTTTTCCATATATATCTTTTTCTCTGAATGTAGGCCAGCATTGGACTCAAAGCCAACAGGATTTCTCTGTGTAACAACCTTGGCTGTCTTAGACCTAGCTATATAGACCAGGCTGCCTTCAAATTCACAGAGGTTCGCCTGCCTCTGCTTCCTAAGTGCTGAGGTTAAAAGCCTGTACCACGCTTTTTTTTTTTTTTTTTTTTTTTTTTTTTGGCGAGGAATTCTGCTAACACCGAGAGAGACAGAGCCAAGGATGGTCCTGGCCGTGGGAAGAGGACAGGCCTGAGGAGGTGACCTCCTAAGGAGCAAAGGGGCAGGTGCCCAAGGAAGGAAGAGTAGACAAGGCTCTCCCGGGTGTTTCCACAGGCTCAGAGTCTCCTGGGTACATGTGGTCTCCAGGTGGGACGAGCCATGATAAAGAGTGTGTCAAAGAGTTTCCCTGCCCCTGGTCCTTCTCACCCTTCTGTACAAGTTTCTTCTCCCCACACCAGCTTTCCAGAGAACAGCTAACCAGCTGTCTTGACCGTTATTGACTCTGGGTATACGGTTTTTTTACCCGTGTGTACTAATTGGCTGCGCGGCCTGCACCTTCCACTAGGAGGCGCTGTAGCAGAAGCTTGGGTTGGATGCTGACCCGGAGGGCTGGAAAAGGAGGCGGTGCTGGCCAGCGGAGCCACGCGGTGTGGCAGAGAGGACCGGCCTAGGCCTGTGTGCTCTCCAGCGGGACACATAGTGACATGACAGGCAACAGTGCTCAGGGCAAAAACATGCTTGCTAGAAACGGGAAGACGTGAGGGTGATGTCCAGAGGTTTGTGCCTTGGGTGACATCCGGCTTCTCATGGGAACTAACCACGGAGTTCTCCCTCATCTCCCAACTGACGGCTGACAGCGGGAGCGCGTGGACTTTTGGCTGCTTACCACTCTTTGCTACAAGGCTCTGATGGGAGAGAAGAAAAACTGCCTGGTTCATGCTGAGAAAAGAAAGCGGGCGGCGGGGGGGTGGGGTGGGGGGTGGGCGTGTCCCTGTTTGGGGAAGGCAGAGACGCGAGCTCACTGGGACTTGTTGGCAGCTACCCTGGCCAAAAACAAAAACAAAATGGGAAAAATGTGAGCTCCGGGTTCAGGGAGAGACCCTGCCTCAAAGGGGAAATGTGGAGCCTGATGGAGGAGGACACCACACACCACACCCTCCTCTGGCCTTTGGGACACCCACACACATTCCAAACCTTCCTCCTGATTGCTCTCTCTCTCTCTCTCTCTCTCTCTCTCACACACACACACACACACACACACACACACACACACACACACACACGCGCGCGCGCGCGAGGCATGACACCAAGGGAATTCTCTCACACTGGGCCAGGCACAGTAGCAAACCCTTTTCTCTATTACCTGACCTCCTCTGCTCACCAATACAATGAGGTTGTTACGACTGGTTCTATTCCCACCTCACCCATGAAGATACGGGACCCAGAGGCCAAGCAACCTGTCCTAGAGCTGGAACTGACTATCTAATGCCAAGCCTGTGTTCTTCAACTGGACCCTGAGGGAACAGGAGGGAAAGGAAGTAACATGTTCTGTAGTGGTCCAAGGCTGTGCCTGTGCTGTATGGAATTAAAGGCACAAGGCACACAAGAAGTCAGCTCTGTCCTCGTTACGGTTCCCAGCTTGAGCCAGATCATAGTCAGCCCCCCAAATCCGCCCCTCCACATCTGTGGATCCCGAAGTCTGAGATTCAGCCAATTGTCGGTGGAAAGTATTCCGAGATACACATACAACTGAAAATATACAACAGGTGTGTGTGTGTGTGCTGTGTGTGTGTACTCTGTGTGTGTGTGTGTGTGCGTGCTGGGGGTTCCTGGGAGATTTCTGCAGACTTGATCAGGCTGGCATTGAACCCATGACCCTCCTACCTCAGTCTCTCGGGTGCTGGGATTAGAGCTGGCACTACCATGCAAGGCATGCACAGTCTCTTTTTCTTGTCATCACCCCCTTAACCTGTAATCCTAGCACTTAGGAGGGGTTGTCAAGAAGTCAGGAGCTCTCAGCTACGTAGGAAATTAGAGACACAGCATCAAAACAGAGCAAAACAAAACCAGGGCGGAGAGATGGCTCAGGAGTTAGGAGCATCGGCTGCTCTACAGAGAGTCCCAGTTCAATTCCCAGCGCACACACAGTGGCTCTCAGCCCAGCCATCTGTACTCCAGGTCCAGGGTCCTGACCTGACCTCTTCTGCTGCCACCAGGCACACATGTGGTACACAGACACATACATGCAAACCACCCACAACATTTTTAGAAGGGGGGGGGAAGCCACAACGGAGTCTAACAACTATTGAAAAAAGTTCAATACAGCCAGGAGGTGGGGGGCACGCCTTTAGTCCCAGCACTTGGGAGGCAGAGGCAGGCCGATCTCTGAGTTCAAGGCCAGCCTGGTCTACAGAGCGAGTTCCAGGACAGTCAGGGATACACAGAAAAACCCTGTCTCAAACTCAGCCCTCTCCCCCCAAAAGAAAGAAGTTCAATATATATGTATGTATTATTTATAATTACATAGTACATAGGATTAGATAAAAGTAATTAATAATAATGAATAAATAATGGAAGAATTCATCTTGTGGGATATATGCAAATTCAAAACCATTTTTACAGTGAACTCCAATGAAATCCAAGCATTTTGGTACCCCGGGAGTTCAGATACAGGAAGCTGACTCTCTGCCTCCTTTAGGTCTCCTTTTGCAGCCTGCAGAAGCTGAGCACCGATGGATGGGTGAGTAAGATATGCGTGCTCTGGAGCAGCCCCAGCCGAGCATCCTTGGAGCTAGATGCTCACCAGGGTTTGGGTGACTGCAAAAGTGCCATCAGCTGGGAAACCTGGGCACCAGCAGACACGAGTCCACACACAGGAAAAGGGGAGAGGACAGCGAGAGGATCTGGGTCATGGTGACAGAGCCACAGACCCTGCAATGGGAGCCACAGAAGTGGTCAGACTGGAATGGGAAGGCATTCCTCAAAATCTGACCCATGATAAAGTTGTGGCCAGGAGTGGTCAGAGGCCCGACTCATCAGCCCAGGCTTTGCCTTGTCCACCTAGGAAGTGACCAGCAATCCGGAAGCCACACACTCAAAGGCTCCTAGGCTCTTTTGTGCCTTGGGCTGGGGGAGGCAGCCAGCTGGGCTCTTGGCTCAGTTCCCGTTGAACTTTGCCAGTTTGCTGCTGCAGAGTACCCTGTGGCCCTGGAGTAATTAACCCTCAAGCAGCCAAGCCTTTGATCTTTATATTTAGAGAGTGAGAACTCAGAAGGATGCAAAAAAGCAATAATCTGAATACTAACGTTTAAAAACAAATGCCTGCGTTTGGCAATTGTCTATTCTGGAAGTCTACAGGGCTTCATTGCCACGGATCTGGCACGAGGAATTTAGGAAGGCCTCAACGATCTTATGCAATGAGCAAACCCCTCCGCCATGAAGGAGATGCAGCTTCTTTTCCTGTGACTTTAAGTAAGGCCCCGTTCTCTGGTATCCGACGTCCACCCCAGCCCCCAGTCTCCTGTGTTGGGGTTGTAGGGACGCCTGGCAGGGCCTTCCTCTTTATCTGGAGCACTATTTTTCTTCTAAGTATCCACTGTGTGGAGTTGTAAGAAGTCTGGGTCTGTAGCACCCCTCCCCCTTCCCACCCTCTCTCCCCCTACCCATACCCCACCTCAGCTTTAAGCCACTAGGCTCTCTCCAGAAACATAGGTCAACTCTTTTGGGCATCTCTAAGCTATTATAGACAAGAATGGTGTTTTTCCAGTGTAGAGATTGGCTGGCACCTACCCCGGCAGGACAAACTGCCACTGTCGGGCCTGAGGACTTATCTTTTGGCATTCCTCTGCTTGGACCCCATCGCCGCCTTCAGCATAATATTGAAATTCTGCCCCAGCCCTCTTGAATCCCTTTAGCCCTACACCTCCAACTTTACTTCCCCAAATACGGCGACGCGACTCCCCATAATCGTGCTCTTCCCTCCTCCCAGACTGCCTTCTCTGTCTCCTGTTTCCCACCTTTTACAACTGATTCAACTTCCAGGCCACCAAAGGCCCAGAGGACGTCACTGAGTGCCCCAGCCCGCGTTCCCGACTCCCTTGGAGCCCACGGCGTTTTCAAGCGAGCGGACTTCTTTCTAGAGATCCTACCGTGAAAGCCTCCTGCACGTGAGCTTGGATGGTGCCTTGGGTAAGCAGGACCAGTGGGCAGTAGAAAAGTCGCTTCTCGGGTCGCTTTTCCTGAGCAGCCTGCCTCCTGGCGGGCTTTGAACCCGTTCTGCACCCTTCTGTAGAGGGGCGGACCCGTGGATCCTTATGGCCCGCTCCTAAGGTGGCTGTGAGTTGCCTGGGGGGGATATGGACCCGTGGGTCCTGACAGCTTGTCTCATGACTGTCAGTTGCTTGGGGGCAAATGCGGAGCCCGATTTCGCCCGGGGCGCCCGGCAGCCTAGCAGCGCGCTGACCGACGAGAAACAAAGCTAAGGCGGGGAGCCTGGCTGCCGCTTCCGTGCGGTCCAAGCCCGCAGTTCGGCCCCTGGCTGAGCGCATCTCGAGAGTGGACGCCGGTCCGGGGAGAGGCGAACCCATGAGGCGATCTTCAGCACAGAAAAGGTTAAGCCTCCATCCCCCCACCCCCGAAAGGCTAGGGGGCGAGAGCGGCTCCCCTCGGCTGCGGGCCCTGGGAGAGTGGTTGCTGTGGCAACCGGCCGGGCGCCCGCCAGCTGCGGATTAGCTCACTGGAGCGGCGGGATGGGTCGGGAGGAGGGGGCGCGCGTCTCCGCAGACGGTCGCGGCGCAGCCCGAGGCGGAGGAAGGGGCCGCGCGCGCGGGCGGGCGGGCGGGCCGAGGCCGGAGGCGGCGGGGACCCCAGGGGCTCGCGGCGGCCGGGGGAGGCGGCGCGGACAAAGGCGCGCAGGGCTGCGGGCCACGGCGCCCCAGGCCCCCGCCGCCGCCGCCGCGGGCGTCCGCCAGATGCGCCCCGGAACGCGCGGAGCCGCCGCCTGCGGGGAGGTAGGACTGGGCGCCGGGGTGCGGGGCGAGCGGGCTCGGGCAAAGCCGGGGGGGTCCGCGCGGGGACGGCGATCCCGATCTCCCCCCGGGGCCCGGCTCACTTCAGGGCCGAAGAAAGTTGCTCCCGGCCGCCCGAGAGCCAGCGTGCGAGTGTGAGGGCGCGTCCGTGCGCCGGGGCGGGGGAGCGCGCGGCTGCATCGGGGTTTGCAGGGTCAGAAAGAGGGGGACGTGGAAGTTTACTTCCCCCCACCCCCACACACCTAAGGATGGAGTTAGGAGCCCGGGTGAGTCTCTAACGACGCAGGATTTAATCTTGGGTAGGAGATACGGAGTCAGACCCGGAGACGAGGCAGTGGTGAGGCTCCGGGACAGGAAGCTGGGGGAGGGGGTGTGCGCTCCTCGGCCCTGGTTTGAACTAGGGAAGTGCGGGGACCCTGACGTAACCAATTCGCGGAGGAAGAAGCAGACTGACTTGTGGCCCAGTGATCTTATGGCTTTGGGGGTTGTGACTTCAACTCCCCCAATGACAGGTAATTGCGGGGTGTGGTAATAGTGTAATAATACGCGTTTTACAGTAATTTGTTATGAAACACTTGCACGAGCTGTAGCCTTTCTTTCTCCTTCGGTATCAAACACGTGCAGAGTGGCACGGACTTGTTTAGAGGATGGCCCACGTAGGAGGGAAGTGGAGATTTTGAGAGGAAGCTGAGGGCAAACAGAATGTGACCCAGGCTGGCCTCAAACTTAGAATCCTCCCTCTTGCCTTACTTAGCTCTCTAAGCGCCGCTAGGCTCAGGGACTCTTTTTTTTTTTTTTTTTTTTTTTTTGAGATGGGGTCTGAGGTAGCTTAGACAGACCTTGAACTTGATTCTAAATTAATTTTTTAAAGATTTAATTTATTTTTGTGAGTGTTTGCCTGAATGTATATCTGTCTGCGCACATGGTGCCTTGGTCCCCATTCCCTGGGACTGGAGTTACAGGCCGTTGTGAGCTGCCATGTGAGTGCTGGGAGTCAAAGCCAGGTCCTCTGCAAGGACAGCCAGTGCTCTTAACGGCTGAGCCACGTCTCCAGCTCCTGAGTCTGCCTCCCAAACGCTGAAATTACAGGAGTATGGCACAAACCTTTGTGAGATGCTAGGGGTCAAATCTAGGGCTCCCAGCTCTCTGCCTGCTAAACTATGCCTCTGAGACAAACATGGCAAAATAATTAAAACCGTTCTTATTATATTTTTATGTATTGTGTATTGGTTGGAATAAGTTTTGCCATCTCACCTTGTGGGGCCCAGGGTGGAACCGAAGGACGTCAGGCTTGGCAGCAAACATCTTTACCTGCCCAGCCATCTTGCCATTCCTCAGAGACTCTGTGAGGTTAGGGTAATGAAGACACTGGCAGAGAGTCGTATGTCTGAATGCTCATTCTAGAAGATTTGCACCCTGCCTGGACACCAGAAACTACCATTCTGGTCTGACCTGGCTGTTCATGCTGCATGCTACAGAGTCAGGAGAATCCAGAGGGTCCCAGGTTCTGAGGGGATGCTTGTGGTGAGTCCTGGGAACCACTTCACCAAGGAAGAGCAGGGAAGATTGGGGCAGGGGGAGCATAGGAACAGTCATTGTGAGAGGAGAGAGGCAGGCATTGGGGAGAATCCAGCCTGGGTGCAGGATGGAGTCAGAAACCCCCCCCCCCCGCAACCGCGCGCGTGTGTGTGTGTGTGCGCGCGCGCTCGTGCGCGCGCCTGCCTGCCTGCCTGCCTGTCTGTCTGTCTGTCTGTCTCAGCAAGGCAGGGCAAAGTAAAATGTGGAATGAGGAGTTCCCTAAAGTAGGAGTGATGGGCCAGCTTTGTGTCTTAGAAAGCTCCTTCACTCTGACCTTGAGGACAGTAAGACCTAGGCTTTGCAGCCTGGGGGAGTGGTGAGGCTGGAGGGATGGGTGGAGTCTGCGGGTCAAGAGGTAGGAGCACAGGATGAGGTTTAAACTAAAACCAAACCCAGAGATGCTCATCAGGAGAACGCAAAAGGAAGAGAGGCATTTTGAACGGCCTGAATGGAGCAGATTACAACACTTGGACTATGAACTTGGCGTCCAGTTTTCTGGCAGCTTAGGGACAAACAAAAATGCACTAGATTGCATAGTTTTGGATGGGAGACAACAGAAAGCATACAAATGAACTTTCAGAACAAATTTTTTCCTGGAATTGAACTCAGCTGGGAGTTCATCGGGAGAACTTCACGAAAGGAGTAGGGAGTGACGGGGTGGGGGTGGGGATGTGGGGGAGGGGAAACAAAGTCTTCATTATGTAAATAGTGAGAAACAGTTAGGACCAGGGAGAGGGACAGAAGACGGGCTGTCCTCCTTCACTGCCCACCTCAGGTGCAGAGGAACAGTTTAGGTTTTGGTCAGCTGCAGGGTGAAGAGTCTTGGTTCAGTGCCACCAGAGGCAGGGGGCATCTGTAGGGACAAGACAGTGACGTCTTCGGAAGAAGTGGCATGTGCTTCTAGACTGTAGAGGACAGAGCGGCTGGCTGCCAGGCCACAAGCAGGAAGGTGGTACCTTAGCCTCTGTGTGTCGGTGTCTGGGCAGAGACCCTGGCCTAGAGAAGGTATCTCCGGCATCCAGAAATGCCATTCAGTGGCAAAACAGACTGAAGCCCGGGAGCAGCATTCCAGGCTTCCCTCCTGATTGTCACATCCCAGATCCCTCCACACCTGGGCCTTGATACTGAGTGCGAATCTAAAGGGGTGGGTGGTGGTCAGCAGACCTGAACTCTGCAGGGAGGTCTGAAGGGTGGGGGATTGTGTGCACAAGAAGTTCCAGAAAGAGTGAGCTGGGAAGGCCTCAGACTCCACCCAGGTTTCCCAGTGACCCTTCCCTCTCCTGCCTGCACAAGGCAGACACCCTACAGGAGGGATGGCTCGAGTTGCTGATGCACCCTGTAAACTTCATGGCAGGTCTCACCCACTGTAACTTAACACCGAGGAAGTGCGGGGCTCTGCCCTCCCTGTTAAGTCTCTCTCTCTCTCTTGTTTATCTTAAAATGCTATGTACGGTGTTTTGGCCGCTTGCGTGTCCATGTGTACCGGGTTAGTCACAGGCCAGAAGAGGGTTGGAGCTCCTGAAACTGGAGTTGCAGATGATTGTCGGTCACCACGTGGGAGCTGAGTCCTCTGGAGTAACAGTCAGTGCTTTTAACCCTTTCAACTGCTAAGCCGCCTTCCCATCTCCCTTATTTTTCTTTTATTATATATATTTTTAAGATTTATTTTACTGTATGTGTATGAGTGTTTTGCTTGTGTGTATGTGCGTATACTTTCTACACGTCCTATGCTCAGGGAGGGTCAGAAGGCTTCAGATTTCCTGGGACTGGAGTAAGGTGATTGGGAGTCAGAGTAGGTTCTGGGAATTGAACTTGGATCCTCTGTAAGAACAATAAGTGCTGGTAATAACTGGTGAACTCTCCAGTTTCTTTCTTTTAAAGGTGTGCGTGTATGTGTGAGTACAGGTACCTGTTGAGTCCAGAAGAGCCCATAGATCCCTGGAGTTGGAGTGATAGGAGATTGCGAGCTGCCTGACATCATGAGTGCTGGGAATGAGCCACTGCTAGCTCAGCACCTGCTCTTAGCTGCCCTAACATCTCTCCACCAGCCCCCCCCCCCCGAGTTTCTGTGCTTCTCTGATTGTGATTGTGAGACAGTTTTTCACCAGGTAGACTGGCCTTGCTCTTGTGATCCTCTACCTTAGCCTTTGGTGCTAGTGATTTTTCTATTGGCTGATAAAACACCATGACTAAGCCAGCTTATAGAAGAAAGACTCTAACCAAAGGGTTAGGGTCCATGATGGCAAAGCAGAGGTCACGGGCGGCTGGGGACAGCAGCTGTGGGTTGACATCTCAAACCGCAAGCAGGAGGCAGAAAGTGCTAACTCAAAATGGTGTGACACCTTTGACCCCTCAAGGCCCACCTCCAGTGACAAACTTACTACCTAAGGCAGGCAATACCTCCTAATCCTCCCCAAACCCAAACTGGGGACTGAGTATTCAAAGGCCTGAGACTTATGGGGATATCTCATTGAAACCACCACAGTCTTTCAAGGCCGAATTCCGGGTGCCTCAGATTTCTTAATATTTTAAACCTGTCTTGCATCTTGGAATGTAATTCTATTTAAAAGCCAGAGAGGGACATGGGGATTGTTATGTGATACTAGAGTCAAATACAGGGATTCATACATAGTAGGTAAGCACCCTGCCACTGAACTACGTTACTAAGCCTAGAGAGAGATTTTAAAAATAGTGGTTGTTCCCGTTCATCCTCTCACTAATTAAAAAACAAACAAACAAACAACAGTTCTGAGAATGACCCTGAGGAATATACGTGTGTGTGTGTGTGTGTGTGTGTGTGTGTGTAGGGGGGTTGCTGCTTGGTTTCGTTTGGGTTTTTTGGGGGGGTTGGGGAGGAAGTGGTCTCCAGATGATTTTTAAGGTTCAGGGTTGTAGTTTTCACCACCTTTGAGAGGGCTCCTTGCTGCAAAGCAGAGCAGATAAACCTTAGGTCCCCGAAAAGTCCCTGGGTGTATCACAGGTACCAAGTAGCCCAGGCTGACCCTGCTTGGGCCCATGAGTCCCACAGTCTCTGTGTAGCTCTTGATCTTGCTGCCTCCAGATCTTTCGTTTTTCACAGGGTCTCACTCTAGCTCTGGCTGTTCTAGAATTCACTCTGACCAGGTTGATCTCGAACTCATAGAGATCCGCCTGCCTCTGCCTCTGCCTCCCAAGTGCTGGGATTAAAGGTGTGCACCACCAACACCTGGCTTCTTTCTGCTCAAGATCTTTGCAGGTCCTTCTGTGTTGCTCTGATGGTTACCTTGCTCCGAACTAGGGTCAGGGTTCCTTTCCTGGTGCTCCCCTGTGCTGTGTTTCTTAGATGCTGGTGAAATGTTTCTCACAGGCTGACTGACGGCCACACACTTTCAGAACTGTGAGAGAGAGCTCACTGTTTCCTCAGC